CCCGGAGTTGCGATGATTCTGGGGAATGATTTAGCGAACGGGAAAGTGTTTTCTACCCCGAGAGTGGTTGAGAATCCTGTGCCTGATACTTTGTTATCTGACCCTGCTGCTGAGCGCTCCCCCTCTGTTTTTCCTGCCTGCGCTGTAACTCGCGCGCACAAGCGCAGGTATGGTGATGTTGATTTGTCTGATTCTTTTCTCTGCGCTGGTGGTGAGCCGGAGCCTGAATCTAAAACCTGTGACCCGCTGACAGGCGACTCTGAGGCGATGCTGTCTATTAGCCCATCAGTGACATCTCAACTGCCTTTGGGAGTTAACAAAAAGGATTTTGTTTTGGCACAACACAGTGACCCGACTCTTGTGGGTTGTTTTTCAGCTGCCAACTCTAGTGACCAGTATCCTCGTGTTTACAGTGTTAAGGATGATGTGTTGATGCGTACCTGGTATCCGCCTACAGTTGGTGATCTGGGCTGGAATGTGTTTAAGCAGGTTCTGGTGCCTCAACAGTACCGACACAAAGTTCTTAGTCTTGCCCATGACAGCTTTTCTGGACATTTAGGTATTAGAAAAACCTACCACCGTTTTCCCGAGGCAATTCCATTGCACACCCTTAAGGTTAAACCAGTTATTAAGGCGTTGGTGAACTTCTTTTCTACTTTCGGGTTACCAAAGGCTGTCCAAACCGACCAAGGCTCTAAATTCATGTCTAAGATTTTTGCTCAAGTTTTGCAATCACTTGGCATTAAACATCAGAAATCTAGTGCCTATCATCCGGAGTCGCAAGGTGCACTCGAGCGGTTTCATCAGACATTGAAAGGAGTGGGATGAGGGGTTGCCGCTGCTCCTTTTAGCAGTGAGGGAAAGCGTGCAGGAATCGCTAGGATTTAGCCCTGCTGAGCTGGTGTTAGGTCACACAGTGCGTGGCCCGTTGCGACTGCTCAAGGAGAACTTCCTGTCTGACACAGATGCTCCTAAGGAAAATGTGTTGGATTATGTGAGTTCATTTAGAGAGCGCTTGCATAAAGCATGTGCAATCGCACGCGATGCTCTCGTTGCAGCGCAGGGTAAGATGAAGAGGAAGTTTGATGAGAAAGCTGTGCAAAGGAAATTTGAGGTTGGTGATAAAGTTTTAACACTTCTACCGGTCCCTGGATCTTCTCTCCAGGCAAAGTTCAGTGGTCCGTATACAGTGCAGGCGAAATTGAGTGACACGGATTATGTCATCGACACCCCAGAGCGAAGGAAAAAGTGTCGTGTGTGTCATATTAATATGATGAAGCCCTACTTTGCTGGTGGTGTGTCAACAGTTGCGACTGTGGGGGTGCCAGGTTCCGAAACCCGGTATGACCCAGTAGGTGATGATTTGGTTTTCGGTTGTGCTGTGGGCTGTGCACGATTTAGGAATTCTGAAATCCTACGTGATTTAAGGTCACATTTAACTGAGGTAGATGATGATGTTCAAAACGACGTGTGTCGGTTGATTGAGAATCATCCTAATCTTTTCTCGGACACTCCTTTCTCGGACTATTGGCAAGTTCCTCTAACATCACGTGCGGCCGAAATCTCTGCCTTTGTTACTCCTGACCATTTTCTTCAGTACACTGTCATGCCTTTCGGGTTGCGCAACGCTCCCGCCACATTCCAACGGCTCATGAATATCGTGCTGGGAGGCGTCTGCAAGTGTGAAGTGTATTTAGATGATATTGTCGTCTATTCAGACACCTGGTCAGAGCATTAGGAGACACTCACTGATGTGTTCCATCGCCTGGAAAAGGCATCCCTCACCCTCAACCTCGCCAAGTGTGATTTTGGTAAAGCCACGGTGACGTACTTAGGAAAACAGGTGGGTCAGGGACAAGTGCGCCCTATCTTGGCCAAAATCCAGGCCATACTGGACTTTCCTGCCCCTCGGACTAGGCGTGAGCTCCGCCGTTTTCTCGGCATGGTGGGCTACTACCGGGGTTTCTGTCAAAATTTCGCGGAAGTGGTCGCACCCCTCACTAGCCTCACTAGTGTGTTGAAACCTTTTGTGTGGTCCTCTGCGTGTCAGAGTGCGTTCCTGGCTGTTAAGACTCTCCTGTGCAGTGCGCCAGTGCTGGCTGCCCCTGATTTTGCACGCCCTTTTAAATTAGAGGTAGATGCTAGTGCAAACGGAGCAGGTGCCGTATTGCTACAGGAAGACCATCATGGTGTGGATCACCCAATCGGCTATTTCTCAAAGAAATTCAATGTCCATCAGCGAGGGTACAGCACGATTGAGAAAGAGGCCCTCTCTCTGCTGTTCGCAGAGAGCATTTTGAGGTGTACGTCGGTTCCAGCCCCTCGCCTGTGATCGTTTATACCGACCACAATCCCCTGGTATTCCTAATGCAAATGCAGAACTCGAACCAAAGGCTGATGAGATGGTCTCTCCTGGTGCAGGATTTCAACTTGGAAATTCGCCATAAAAAGGGCACAGAGAATGTGTTAGCGGATGCCCTATCCCGTGTCTTCCTTTAAACATAACTGTCCAAAACGTCTACAAAGGAGATGTCTTTGATTTTGGGAAGGGGGGTAATACGGCTGTGGCCATAAGAACACTGTGTGGGCTGTTTTGTTCTGTGTCTCTTTACTGTGCTTAAGACTCTTTGCAGGTCCCTCCCCTAATGAAGAGTAGTGAGCAGCTGATTGGACCGTGGAACACGTGACCGCATTCAAAAAGCCGCTCTGAGCTCCCGCTGGGAGAGAGAGAGAGAGAGTGGAGCGAGCGAGTAGCTTGACAACCGACGCGGTCCTGACCCTGGTTTCCAACCCATACTTTTGCTGTGTATTTGTGTGAGCGTGATCTGTGAGAGCCGCTCTTGCTGTGTTAACTTAGTGCTTAGGCACCCTTAGGCTGAAGCGGAAGGGGTGAGCCGCCTTTTTCTTTGGGAACAGTTTTCTCCTGTTTTCCGGGTTAGGGAGCGAGGGTTAGTATTGTCATTTGTTTGTTCTGTTTTCTTTCGTAGGGTTTAGTTAGTTTTCTCTGGTGGGACTTAGTTTGTTTTGTTTATTATTTTGGCCTGGGTTCACCCTGGAGCTATGCTTCATTACCTTCAATAAAATCACCTTTTTTGCTCACAACTGGTTTTGGATGTTTGGCTTGGGAACCAGGGTGGGTATTTGTCTCTCTCTCCTCCAACCTTATGTGCGTCTCTACACGCCTAGACTAGGGGCGTAACAACGTATAAAAAATAATAGAACAGACAGACAGAATCGGAGACACTGACACACTAGATGAGAGATGGATCTGGCTGATCACTTGATCTACTACTATTTGCTGAAGAAATATTCTCAGTGGAATGGTGGCATTCAAGAAGCCATTCCTAATAAAGGGAAATAGGGACAAAAGGATAAGTAACCAAAATGACACACAAACTGGACTGGACGTTAGTTGGAGCAGGTGGAGTGATGAATCCAAATTCAATTTCTTTTGACTCAAATATTTATTATCTGTTTGTTTACAGGTATGGACTGTACAGAGAGTACCAAAAGGCATTGTCATGGCTGCATTTCTGACAATAGTGTTGGATGTTTTAACTCAAAGTTTTGGATGTCAAAACTGATGATAATGATGGATCACGATGGAATAATATATCACCATTTAGCAGTATTTTTGGTTAGCTCCCATCAATTAGTCTTAGGCCCCACTTCTATGTATCAAATTACAGGTAGTGATCTTTTTCTACTCTCCAACCTCATTGAAACATATAAACTCCTGGCTGCACACACACTGGCTTTAACTTCTGTCAGGATGTAGGCTTTTATACATTTACTGCTGCTAGTGCTCCTGTTGTGTGAAATGGGTGTGGAGGAGCATGGTGAGGTCACATGGCTACTAGTTTTTCTGTCTGTTCACCCATTCCAGTTTGTTGCAGTAATCAGAATCAGAATGCTTTATTGATCCCTAGGGGAAATTATTTTGGTTACAGCACTCACACCTATGGGCAATTTAGATTAATCAATTAACCTATCCCCAATAACTGCATGTCTTTGTACGGTGGGAGGAAGCCGGAGTACCCGGAGAGAACCCACGCAAGCATGGGGAGAACATGCAAACTCCACACAGAAAGCCCCTGGCCTGATGGTGGAATTGAACTCAGGACCTTCTTGCTTTGCGGCAACAGTGCTAACCTAACATTACTGGCCTTACTGATCAGTTTATTGTAACTTAACAGAGCGAAGAATTTCTACAATTCTCCCCCATCTTGTCTCTTTCCCTTGTAGCTAACTGATGATGGATCTGTTCAGCAGAGGAGAGCTGGGGCTGCTAGGAGGAGGAGAGGGCCTCAGAGATGATGTGGCTGCGCATGGCATCCGCTGGCCACCCAGTCGTCTGCCAGAAGACATGTATCCGCCGTCTGGATTGGCCCTGGCTGCTGCCTACCATGACATCAAGCTCCGACTAGCCAGTCTGGAGAGGGAGAACAGTAGCATTAAAAGGAAACTCGAACACTACGAAGTCAAGGTGGAGAGCAGCAGGCACACACACATATCCACACATCCTAGACCCCATACACAAAACAGTATACAGTAACATTTCTGTGTTGGGAATGCTTTGTTTGTGCCCTGTCCCCCAGTTCCCTATGATTACTGAGTTTGGAGAGGAGACAATACTGTGTTGTTCCTGTGAGCCCATCATCAAAGATACCAGCACTATCCAGTCACAGACCACCAACCTACAACAGAGGATCAACTCCCTCACTCAGGAGGTAAAATTTGACATGCAGTACTCTTCAACTTATATGAGTGGGTTGTCTTAGTCATTTTATATGACATCAGTTAGAAGTGTCTGGTCAAGTCTCTTATGTGAATCATGTTGAGGTTTTTTCTCTGTCAGCCTTGTTTGGATTTTTTGTAATCTGACAAATAGTGAACACACAGCTGAGCATCAGTCAAAACAGTGTTGAGACATATACAAGACTGTTATGATGTTGCACAGCAGTCAGGACCACAAGCACTGTACTTGCACAGTGAAGCTCTAATTCAAGGAGTTTAAGAGAAATATTACATTAACTGTTCAGGAAGTCTCTCATTTTCAGATTTGATCATGCCCTCATTGACATACTTCAGATCCTCAGACTGAAAAAAAAAAGCTTAAAAAAAGTCCTAGGGGTTACCTCTTGGAACCGCAAAGCAATAACACACATTTGAGCCATGGCAAATGTCTCAGTAACTAGGAGGCCTTCATAACGGGAGAAACTTTTCTCCTTTTAAAATGTAAAATTATATCACAAGATATCTTCCTGAAATTTAGATACCTGCAGTATACTGTATTTCATTTGGAATTAATTGACATTGTTAGAAATAATTTTTCTCAGCTCCAAAAGAGCAAAGAGAGAGAAGAGAGACTGGAAGAAGTCATCCAAGCTTACGAGAAGATTCACCTGGAGAAAAGCAATGTCCAGAGAGACCTAGACAAAATGGTAAATACATACAAACATAATAATGTGTTTTGTACTGTTAAACGCATTTTGTGCTGAGGTATTTCCTAGCAGATTGGGTTTCAGTTGCAATTTTCTGTGTTTCCATTTGTGTGAGACAGACAACTCTAGTGGAGCAGCACGTGGACAGGATCCGCATCCTGGAATCAGCTCTCAGGCAGAGAGATAGTTCCCTGCAGAAACTCAGCACTGAGCTGCACAGCAAAGACTTACATAAGTCTCAACTCCATGCCAGTCTAGACATACCGAGAGGTGGGTTCTTTATATATCAGGGGCACATCTGCTTAAATAAATGTCTATGGTAGCAGTAGGAGAAATATTCTAATCCATAAAGTGCAAGTAGAAACTATACTGTTTGTAACTGTCATAGTTATAGTTCAGGATTTGAATTTATTTAAAATCTGTCAGATTCACAAATTCATTGCTTTACATATTCTATTCCCGCTATTCTTCTGTACCAACAGCAGGGCGGGGCATTCCTGATGAATGCTATAGAGCACTATTAGCCTTGTACAGTGTGTGTGTGGCATTGGGTCATAGTCTGTCTTGTAGTCAATCCAAGCAATGCTGTCTGGTCTTCTCCACTATCGGAGGGCGATGGCCCTCTAGTATGCACTCCGCGCTCATGTGTTTACTCATGTGCCTATTCAGCTTGGTTGCTATGCTTTAGTGGAGCTTCTATGTTGTGAAGATGCAGGCAATTAGCAGGTTTGATGGTACTGGACCGTTTTGAGGATCCTTTATGATTGCGATTGTTCTTCCATTCGTTAGTCAAACACCTTAGTAGTGCTGCCAAGCATCGTTGGTCTGCCTGTCATAGTGTGGATGTTCGGGCAGTTTGAGACCTGTTTTTTCCAACCTTGGAAGACACGTTTTACTTTTCTCCTCCATTCGGGGCAGAGCTGGTCTCTGCTGTGGTCTAGGTACACCTGCTCATCATAGGGCTGCAATAAAGTGAGGGTATTTAAGGACCAACTTGAACCTTCATTCTCGGAATTAACTCTGCTCTTTGCTCGGATTCCTGTTCGATCCTTTCCTAGGTAGGAGGTAACAGCGAACAGAGTTGACCACCCACAAAGTTCTGGGACACACTTTCGGGTGAGGTCAGAAGCTGGTTAGCTAAGCAAAGTTTAAAAGGGCCTGCAGTAATAACAAGCCAGCCCCAAGTACCGCTTCATCTCCTTTTTGGTTTTGGGACACAGTGTCATGGCGGGGTGTGCCGGTGTGTTTGTTGGAGCGGACCCAAAAACAGACACTGGAGGCAAGGAGCTGGTTTGCAAACTGAAGGCAAGCCTTTATTTCGGCTGAAAACATGAAACTATGAAACAGCAAGCATAACTATGATAAATTATGTCGAACCTATGACTGACCATGATAACAAAAGGTAAAACTATGACTGTGACAGGAACTATGACTGTGACTAGATGACATGAGGAAAATTGGCAGACATCCTGACAATGAACAGTAATAGACAAAGGACTTAAATACAAACATGAGGTGATCAGGGGAAGTGGAGACACATGAGGAAACAGCTGACTAGGATGAACATAATGATGCACAAGAAATGTAAACTAAAACACAACGACATGAAAACTGGACTTTCAAAATAAACAGGAAAACATGACACCACACAGGTATGACAGCATTAACCAGGCAGACCAGAAACATGACACATAAGACACAATAAACAACAATGGGAACTTTAATCTCTGTGGCTCCACTCCGCTCCAACAGCACCAATTCATAGTCAATGTGTTGGTAAAACTTGTCGTGTGACCAAGAATGGCCCTTGCCACTTGGTGAGCTGGATGAATGGTAAATGGTAAATGGACTGGTTCTTATATAGCGCTTTTCTACTCTTTCTGAGCACTCAAAGCGCTGTACACAACTTTTACATTCACCCATTCACACCCATTCGCACAAGCACATTTTTCTAAGTGCTTTCTAAGGTAACATTCACACACACATTCATACTCCGATGGATGCATCGGAGAGCAATTTGGGGTTAGTATCTTGATGAAGGGAGCAATACAAGCAATTTATCTTCCAGCAAAGGTGCTGCTGATGTTCCTCGGCCTAGAGCAAATTTTCCCATGATAACCTCCCCAGTGTGTGTAGCTTTGCTTTTAGGTCCAGAACATATTGAATTTCATTTTTACCTGAGCTTGGACCTTGCTCCTAGCTTTCTTTAATGACATCCAGCACCCCCTGTGGCTTCCTGCCAAACAGCATTTCCTTGCTAACGCTGTTCAAACTGGGTTACACTGCGAAATCCAGAGCAGGGAGATATATGTGAAGCTGTCATTTCTTTTTTTCATTTTTGTTTTTGTTTTTTTTTCCAGATGGTCCAGGGCCAACACTGCAGAGCTCCTGTAGTCTGGATGCCCTTTTGGACCTGAAGGTGCAGCAGCTGGAGGCTGAGCTGGAGGGTGCGCAGAACCAGGCTGAGGGGGCTTTTCAGAGAGAGAAGGCATTGAGGGCTGAGGTCCAGAGGCTGCAGCACGAGGTAGCAAAGCTGCGGGAAGCACAAAGACAGGTACCTCTCAATTGCTTTAAATGCTTAACTGGCCATGATCGAGTACAGATGGACTGCAGGACATTGTGATCTCACAACTGCTGTGGGTCAACAAAGCACACTTAGGCAGCCATGACTAAGGTGCTGCCATGCAGCCATGCTTTAACGTTAAAGCTTTAACGTTAAAGCTTATAAGCTACAGCTATTGCCCATTATATGTCAGGTTATTTTAAAACAAATTCAACAAACTGCCACTTGCTGCAGGCTTTCAGAGTTATTGTGGTAAAAAAAAAAAAACAACCCTTAAATTAAAATAAATGAATAAATCTTCAGAAATTGTTAGGACTGTGGATAAAAGGAGGATACTGAGGAAAGTCCAGACTAAAGGTTTTCAATCATTTAGCCCATGCATAGACTTTAAGATTTATTTTACATACTCCCAAATATTAATTTATAATAATATTAATTTATAAACATTTATCATTTTCAGTCACATCTCGTGTTTTCCTTCAGTGATTGGTAGTTCTAACCACAGATCTTTGTGTGTCTGTGTCAGTCACAGGACCTGTCTTCTCACTGTGAACACTGTGACGTAGAATGGATAAAGAAAGCCGGCGATGAACAGTAAGTCTAATTACAAAGAATATTTAAATAGAAGTCTATAGTTTATTGTCTTATGCGTGTATATGAATGTGTCTGTGTGTGTGTGCTCCAGGGTTAACCTGGCATTAGCTTACACAGAGCTCACAGAGGAGCTGGGTCATGTTCGCTGTCTGGCTGCAAAGCAGAGTGACCTTCTGCAGCATGTCTCACAGGAGCCTGGTAAGCAACCTGAAAGAGTGACTAATTTGTGGATTTTGTGGTAGAATATTTGTCAGAGAGACTTGTCCTGTAGATATGCTAAAAGTCTCTACCAGCTTGAAAGTTTTTCATTTTAATTGCATGTACTGTACCCACTTACTGGAACAGTTTTTGTACCGAGGCTCAAGTGTTACTGTGAAACAATAATAAACATCTACTTTCTTTCATCTTAGTCGATAGCTGATAGTTTATAGCAACTCATGTTAGCTGTGGAGTTGTTGGATCATGATGAAAGAGTCCAAACATCCTCTGAGTCACATCAGACTGCAGGAGCTATAATCATCCATCTGTATAGATGACCATACCGTGACCACTGTAACTTCTACTTGGATTCTACTTGATTGGAAGCTATGCAGTAACTTGTTGGACAGATGTCAGCACCCGCAGTAAACTTAAGTGAACTATCTATGGGACAAACCCTATAGCCACTAATTTAGCTATTGATTTTGCCTGCTGATAGTCTTCGCAATTCTTACAGATTTAAAAAAAATACAGTAATGAAAAGTCATAGTAATGAAAGTAATGAAAAGTCATAGTTTTGCTTGGTAATCAAGAACCAAGCAAAACTATGATTTTAGTTCATATCTATCTGCACATATCAAGGTAGGCTAAATCAGTGTACGTCAGCAACATAATACGATTTGGTACTTTTCCATTGGTATATGTATATGCTCTCTTGTTGCTAGAAGTGCAATGTAAATGGACTCTGTAAAAATGAAAAATTCTCTCTTGTGTGTCTATATACAAGAATTTCTACATGTAACATTTTTATATCTGCGCCAGCCTACTTTAGCAATCAGCATTACACTAACTTACAGCAACATGAAATTACACTGAATCTCCACCTCCAGCCTTACTTCCTCACTTAGCCGCTCTCTAGTCATCTAGTCTTTAAACTCAGAACTATGTAGTAATGTGTAATTTTTTGTAATGACTGGTGTTATATTTAGACAAAGCAGAAGTTGTTTTCAGGTCTGTTATTTCCTTTCTTCATTCATCTTTCTCTTGCTCTTGCACAGCTCCTCAGCATCTCTCTCCAACCTCTTCCCAGCGTGCCTCACTCTCCCCTGACAGACTCCTCCCCACTCCCCCATCTCCTATGTCCTCAACTGAAGGGTCCATCTCCTATTCCCATCAGCAGACTAGCAGCCGCCTACGAGCTAAGTTCCAGGGTCGCCGAAGTTACTCAGAGGTTAGGCTACACATTTTAGTAGAACATGAAAATGACAACTACATTGTGAAATATTTTTTATGTATTTTATTTTGTACTGATCCTTGCCTCCTGTTTCCAAGGTATCTGACACATCAGTCAACCAAAAGCCCCCAGTTCATCTGTTAAGGGACCCAGTATCTACGCTTCCCAAACCCAGGCACGTCCATGGGGACATGCAGGCTTACAGCCAAACCAAAAGTCAGCTCTGTACCTCACTGGTGGGTTTGGTCAGACCAGCATCAGCTCATGGAGCTGGAGTGGAGAGAGGAGGAGGAAGGGGCGTAGAAAGGTGTGGTGACAGCGGCCTGAGCAGCAGTCCTTGTCACTGTGTTCTCGACCTGGACTTTCCTGTGGCTGCTGAGGTGAGAAGTAGAACTTGTATTCACTTAGTTCTTGTTTTTCAGATGTTATGATGAAACAACGGTTTGTAACCCATTTTAGCAGTGAGTGCTGGGTGCTCTGGCCATTGCCAGTCCATAGTCCATAGTTTATTTGAAGATTTTATGAAGCTTGAGCATGCTGAGTTCGACAAATCAAGATGAGGTATTTTAGTGTCAAATTTTCTCTTTTTGGTTACCCTTGATATTTTAGATGTAGTGGGCTTCAAAGTAGTCTTCCACTGATGGCCACATTCCTATTTGGCTTCACTAGATAAAACTTTCTGACCTATTGCTAGTATTTGCTAGCACTAACATTCTTGGTAATGCAGACAAATGGCTTGATGCACAATGTAGCAGCTAGCTAATGGAGTCTGTGTTGTGCTAGGAGGTGGTTGTTTGTTCAACTTAATAAATAGTGGATTAGTTTCTAAGCTGCCTTTGGCTAGTGGATTATCAGAGAAAAGTAATTACTCTGATAATAATTTAGTCATTTTTGATGTAACATGATAGTTACATCAAAAATGACTACTATTCTGCCAAACTACAGTATCTACTTAACCCTACTTTTCTTCTCATGAAGGTTCACCACTTCTGTCACACTGACGAGCCAACTGAACCCACGCCACTGGTAACACCACCTCAGTCTTCAGATGATGAAGAGGTGATGATAATGATTCTGATGTTTACTGATTTTCATCTAGAGTTAGAGGTCATATTGAAGATGTGTGGGGTTGTGTGCTATGTAAATTTACAGGACGTATGTATATATCCATCGCCCGTTGCCAGCCCACCTCATACTCTTGGTGCTGTTGGGACTGGTTCATCGTCACCTAGGGAACAGCCCCTTCACTCCTCTTTCCAGTCTCCAAGGAAACAGCCCCACCATCCCTCTTTCTCAGCCCTTGAGGGCCCTACCATGCTCTCATGCCATCTGCCTCCCTACGTGAACACTGAGCATGCTCAGTCATGGCCATCTATTAATGTGAGTAGAAAACAATATTGGGGATTACATGAAGCTATTAAGAGATTTCCTGCAGACCCAACAGGCTCACTGCTGCAGCTCAAAAGAAGTCCCACTGAAGCACAAAACCCCTCTGTTACCTCTGTTAATTTAATTTGTTTAACATGCTGAAGATTATGTTTGTATAATTTGTGTATGGGAAAAAATGTAAGTTGCTTTAAAAATACATTCCTGTATTCCTTTTAGCTGATGCCACAGAGAAATAAATCTACCTGTTTAGTTTGTGCAGTAAAGATGAGACACTGAAATATTCGTTTAAACTTGGTAAAAAAAAAAAAAAGAAAAACACTATCACAGACACTTGCACAAACTCTTAAGACTCTGTAATACAGCAGAAAGTAATATTTAAACCCTGAAATAAGTTAGCAACTTGTATTTCCAGTTCTCCTGCTTGGGCATAGATGGGCTTTCTTCATGAGGTTTTGTTAGATGCTAGAATAGAGTCTCTGGTTAACACAAACTTTACCAAGCTCTGGTTCTGATGCAGCCAATGGAGCAGATTGTGCCCATTCAAGACAATGATCCATCCATCATCTTCTTGCTCTTATTTATTTCAGGGTTGCAGGAAGCTGGGGTCCTACCCCAGCTGTCTAGTGCAAGAGTCAGGATAGACCCTGGACAGGCAGCCTACAGTGATTCAAACTTCACCAACTGTGTCATTTTAGAAGCATCCCAAAAGCAGCTTTCCACTCTGCAACACTGCACAGAGCTGACAAGGAAGGCAGAAAAATCTAACTTTGCATGTGAAAAATTCCCAATGTAATTTGAAGCTCTGCAAAAAATGAGTAATTAGAAGCATCTTCTCAGATATTTAATGTCACAGATACACACCATTTCTGATAAATATCTGTGACATTGACTCTTTGGCAATGTTGAATATTTTCATTATATTGTTCTAAATGTTGAAGTAAGTAAATACTCACCCCATTCATGAATTACATTTTGGTTTGCTCACAAGCGGCTAAATAAGACACTGAATGTCATCACATTAAACAAAGACGCACACTTTGTTAGTGTCCAAATATTATTGTTTTACTTCTTTTCATTATGTTTTCTCTTCTAAAATCATATAACTGTTATCGGCTTGTTGAGATTAGCTTGCCGAAAGCTTCAGTTCAATTAAATCAAGTTTTTTAATTAATGGGATGACTGTGGCTCAGGAAATAGCACATATCATCTGCCATTCGGAAGGCTGGTGGTTTGATCCTCTGCTGCTCCATTTGGCATGCCAAAGTATCCTTGGGCAAGATACTGAAGCTTGAGTTGCTTCCGATGTGCTTATTGGAGTGTGAATACGTGTGTGGAAAAGACAAAATAGATAGAGAGGGGGGAAAAGAGTGAGATATAGGCCTATTTAACAACATATACTGTTTACACGAGATAATTTTATTTCTTATATGAATGCTAAATATTTAACTGCCATAAACAGCCATAACTGTACTTGACTGAAAAACCCATCAAGTGAATAACAAATGTACTGCACTGAAACACTCAGTGAGGCTATTAACTGCTCTGTATCAACTCATTGGTTATTTGCAACTTAGCCTACATACCTAATGAGAGGAATGTGCATGGCTCTGTAAACATAGTTCTGTGATGTCTTGGTCATTTGAGGTCAGCTTCAGATCCAATCTGCTTCTGTATTTTGTGTAGATACGTGATCGTAAATGGAAGGAGAAAGCACATCGCCTTGTCTGAAAGTGCAGGGTATTCCCTGAACAGCTGTATTCAAAAGTCCAAAGTTTCTGCTGTCTGCTATTCAGTACAGTTCTCCTTCTGATACTTCCTGTTTGGAGCCAGGATTGCAATGCTTTTGAACCGTTATTTTTCATTCCTCCACTTGCCATGACGACTTAGTTTGTCAACCCTTTTAGCTACTTGTTAGGCTGGCCTAGTAAGCTTGCCTACTGGCTGATTTAAAAAGGAATATGCCTTTTTCAAAAAAGACAAAACTTAATTTAAACTCAATTTTTGTGATCTTGAAATGTTTTTAACATTTTAAATAATCATTTAATCTTAAAAAAGTTTTTGAGATGTTCCAGCAGTGGTACGTGTACCACAGTTTGAGAATGACTGTTTTAGGACTTCCTGATAATAATAAATTACAGTAGTCCAGCCTACAAGTAAAAAATGCATGAACTAGTTTTTCAGCGTCACTCTGAGATAGATGTTTCTAATTTTAGAGATGTTGCACAAATGGAAGAAAGCAATCCTTAAACATTTGGTTTATTATGAACACTGAAGGATATGTCTTAGTCAGTTCACAGTATTACTGGAGGCCAAGGTAATGCCATCCAGAGTAAGCATGTGGTTAGATAACATATTTCTAAGATTGTCACAGTAAACTCACAGAGTCAAGCACAGGAGTCTGTGAGTTTGCAATTGAAATTTCATGGCTTATTTACAACAACCGCCAAGTGCTATGGAGAGAAGGAGGACACCACTCTCCGCTGCAGTCAGACACTGCCAGAAACACACTCGAACTTCCAAACTCACTCTCAGGGATCCAGGGCAGAAACAGGGACAGTGAAATCTATATACAAAGAAACAGGCAAAGAATCAGTAGAGTCTATTATCAGTAGAATCAGTATTGACGAAGGCGAAGAGAACATGAGTAGAAAGAGCCGGGGCTACACGGATGTGAGCAGTACAGCAACAAGAACCACTGAGCCGCTGTAGTGGCCGGACGAGTCAGCTCTGGTTGGGTATCATTTCATAATTAAGTGTGTAAAGAGGACTCCCCATTTACATGAACAACATTTACTGTCTATTAGACAGATATTATTCAAACCATTGCAGTGCAGCCCCTTTAATTCCTAATAAAATATTGTGGTCAACAATATAAAATGCAAATCTAGCAGGACAAGTGCAGAGACTCAAGATTCAAGGAGAATCATGAGAATTCATGTGTACAGAAGAAATAGCATTTCTCTGTGCAATGAAATTCTTCCTTTGCTGTCCATACACAAATGAGATGAGTCCACTGTCGATGGCCATAAGATCATTTGTAAACTGTAACGCTGTCTCTGTACTGAATTCTGAAATCTGACCGAAACTCTTCAAATAAACCATTTCTCTGCAGGTGATCAGTTAAATCCTTTACAACTAATGTTTCAAGTATTTTTAAGATAAAAAGAGCTTGGACATTGGGCTATAATTAGTTGAGATAACTGGGTCAGGTGATAGCTTTTTAAATAATAGTTTAATTATTGCGACCTTAAAGATTTGTGGTAGGTAACTGATTATTAGAGATGAGCTGATCACATTTGAGGAAGCATTAACTAACAGTGGGACTTCTTAGAGAAGTCTTGTGAGAATGGGTCTGCTAGTAATTCCTGAAGTTAACTCAGAAAGATCATTCTGAGAAAACAGGTCTAAAAAATATCAATGATATTTAAAAAGGCTGGACATTATGATGGGTTTGAATCATTTTTATCCAATGAATCTAATTTTATTTGTGGAGAAAATCATGAAGTCATTGCTAGATAAGATTAAAGGAATGCTTGGCTCAACAGACCTCTGACTTTTTGTCAGCTTGGCTACCGTGTCGAAGAGAAACTTAGACTTTTTTATTTTTACTTTCTTGAATCAGTGATGAATAGTAAGATGTTCTAGCTTTGAGGAGGGGGTTCTATTTTTAGAGCAACAAACTATTTTTTAGGCTGATTGAAGATCTTCTAAATTTGTGATGTGTCATTTTCTTCTCAAGCTAAAGCTTTGGGTTTGCCATGTGACACCCAAGAAACCTAAAGGATTTAAAGACTATGTAAAAAGGAGTGTGCCATAATCTCTCTTAAGATGTGTGTGTAGCACTGGTGGTGCAATTCTAGTAGTGGGCATTGATAGGTCTGTGTAGCACAGGCCTACTGCTGGAACACCAAGACAATTCTACTACAACAGCAAAAGCAAGACGCAAGTCACCACAGCACTTTGTGTTGCTCGTGCACGATGGAGAGAACTATGACGAGCGCCGTTCCTTCCACTTGAACCCCAGTCACTCTCAGTTAGCTCCCCCGTAGCACTTCTCTTTATTGTGGTTACATGAATATGTATAGGTTCATTAACATATGACATCTTACACAGGCATACATATGAACAAAGAGTACCAGTCTGTGTATACGTGTAGGTGTGTATGTGTGTGCAGGTGTGTGTGTGTGTGGTCAAGATGTAACCCTGTGAACGACTCCCCAAAGCTGGTGCTAGGAGCCCAGCGGTCCACCTAAACAAAGGGCTCTTATACTAAAACAGATACAGAGTAGGTGTCCTCCTATACCATAAATCAGTAAGAGAAGGTATGACTTCTCTCATGACCTTAGAATGTGTGTGCATATGCCAGAGTGCTCTGGGGGCACAAAGAGTCTTTGCAGACTGCTATATCATTATACATTTGATTATATACCTCTAAGCATATATGAGCAATTGTTTCCAAGCATAAATGACAAATCAACAATATAAACCTAACAGGCATATAAGACCTGTTAGTGCTACTTCTAGCCTTCTTTGCATGTAGTATAGGCAGTATAGTTACCTTTAACCGCAGTATGAGGACAGAAGGGAAATATGGGTCAGATCAGACAACTTCTAGATTCGTAGGTGCTAAGGCCCCCTACGAGCAAGCACTTTGGCACCAGTGGGAAGGAAAAACTTCCTTTTAAATGGTAAATGGCATGTATTTGTATAGCGCTTTACTAGTCCCTAAGGACTCCAAAGCGCTTTACACATCCAGACATCCACCCATTCACGCACACATTCACACACTGGTGATGGCAAGCTACCCTGGGGCACACTGCCACTGGCGCTACCGGGCCCCCTGACCACCACCAGTAGGCAACGGGTGAAGTGTCTTGCCCAAGGACACAACGACCGAGACTGTCCGAGCCGGGGCTCGAACCGGCAATCTTCCGATTACAAGGTGAACTCCCAACTCTTGAGCCATAATCGCCCAGGAAGAAACCACCAGCAGAACAAGGCTCAGATCAGATCATGCCCTGCAAGGATTACCAGCATGGTGATGGTGGCTGTAAAATTGTTGGAGACGAGAAGGGAGAGCAAGGAAGGGCAAGAAAAGGAAAACTTTCCCAAATATGACACATATTTTATTCATGATCCATATTTATTTCATTTCATGTCACATAAGTTTCTTCAAACTAAATTTTGCTTGGTGCATGCAAAAAGATTTTATGCTGCACATTTTTTTGACAAATAAAGTTCAACTATATGAAAGAGAAGACAAAGGCTGATGTGCAGTAGCGGCATATAAAACAAATGGGAGGGAAAAGAGGTCAGCGCAGAAGAAATCCACAGTGCATTATGGGAAGTCCCCCAGTAGCCTGAGCCAATAGCAGTGGAAGGGATAGTTCAGGGTCACCTGACCCAACCCTAACTATAAGCTTTATCAAAAAGGAAAGTTTTAAGAGCAATTTTAAATAGGTTGTGTATCTTTTGAACCCAAACTAGGAGTTGGCTCTACAGGAAAGGAGCTTGATTGCTGAGACTCTTCCACCCACTTATACTTTTAGAGATTAAGCCTACAGTCTGAGAGTGAGCTGCTCTTTTGGGATAAATCATCTATTCCAAAGCTATTCTAAAAAGTCTCACTGGCATTTTGTTGAGTGAGCCAGGGCGAGGCTAACTTAAAATATTTAAAAGTATTCTGTGACACTTGAGCTAAACAATTAATAATCCAAGCTATAAGAAGCTTTTCTACTTCATCATATCACAGTTTTCCATCATCGAGAAACAGTGCTGAAGGACTTGTGTTCTCTTTGATTGAAGCTTTATGAAGACTTTATGAAGGATTTACCATTATTGATGGTTAAGCAATTTGACACCTATTCTTTTTTTTAATCTCCACAGTTATGGATGGAATCGGAAGAGAATGCTGCTCGGAGCTGCCCTCTGTGCCAGCTGACCTTCCCAACCAGTTACCCTGATGATGCCCTCATCAAACACATTGACTCTCACTTGGAGAACAGCAAGATCTGACCTTTCATTTTTATTTAAAAAATAATTGTAAGCTCTACTTTTCATCAGAGATGGACACAAAGGTTATTTTTGATTGGTTCTTGGTTTGATCCAGGAACGGTTTGAGTAGCCTGCATGGGTCTTTTGCATCGCTCCAACCTTTGTATGGCCATTACCCATCTCACTGAAGTGGATAGTCCAATCTAATTGTGAAATGAAAGCATTCACAGGCCACAATTTCCTTTTCAGTAAACACACATGGATTGCATATTATTTTTCATCAAGAACTATAGGTTTTCTTTCATTCAGAACCAAACTAACATTTGTACATTTAAGAAATTATATATGTTATAGTTGGAACCACTGCAGCTGGCACTCTTTTTGCAGTGCCGCATGTGCTGGCCTGAAAGCAGTCCTGGAAACAGAAGACAATTCAATGTTGTAGAGGATCAAGTTGGCAGTTTGAAAATATACAAACCTTCCTGAGGTCTGATCTGGGTATGAAGAGCACACTTGGTGTGCAAATTTAGACCCGTAGAACCATGGTAGCCACATTAACCCTTTAACATTCTCTGTAAGAAAATAATAATAGAACTATTATTTCTTAGCACTTTTTATTTACCATGGGCAATAATAATATTAATCAGTAATTTGTTTTTAAATAAATCTTGCATGTTTTAATATTGGCTTAAAACACACTTAAAAATACAAATAAATACAGATTTTCTTATTAAATGATTCAGGCTTGTCATTTTAGCTCTATTTTATTTTATTTTTTTAACTTTTGAAACTAAAAATGTGATTACAAACCCTTTAATGATGTATTGCTAGAAAGATGTTTACCAGCATATGTGAGATTGTTAACATGGGACAAACCATCCTCTCCCTGGCCACCTCCTCCAGCTTGTCCGGTTCAACACCAAGGCATTCCCAGGTCAGCCGAGAGATATCTCTCCAGCGTGTCCTGGGCCTCTTCCCGGTGGGACATGCCTGGAACACCTCACCCAGGAGGGGCCCAGGAGGCATCCTTGTCAGATGCCTGAACCACCTCAACTGGCTCCTTTCAATCTGGAGGAGCAGCAGCTCAACTCTGAGCCCCTCCCGGATGGCCGAACTTCTCACCCTATCTCTAAGGGAGAGGCCAGCCACCCTTTGGAGGAAGCTCATTTCTGCCGCTTGTATCCACGATCTCATTCTTTTGGTCACTATCCACAGCTCGTGACAATTGGTGAAGGTAGGGACGTAGATCAACTGTTAAATTGAGAGCTTCGTGTTCACACTCAGCTCTCTACACCACAACAGACCGGTACAGCGTCCGCATCGCTGTAGCCGCAACACCAATCCATCTGACCATGGGATTACTATTACCTAAACTGTCATGATTTTTACTTGTTTGTTTTTTGTTTTGTTTTTTTTTTACCAAACTTAGGATACTTAATTACTTAAAAATAATGTTGATGACATTATTATTATTATTATTATTATTATATCCTTGAAAAAAAGGAGCCTCATATACCATGTATTTATTTGTCCTAAGATAATAATTTTGTTTTAAACTTTCATGAAGGAAGTTTAAGTTTTTAAACTTCCACTTTTAAAAAAAAAATCAAGCTCTACCAGCTGCTTGGTAGAACTTGAAAAAGTTATTTTTCTTTTTTTCTATCAAGTTATATAATTAAGTAGGACCTAAAATAAAAAAGTCTACTTGAGTGTCATGCCTGGACTAAGCAACAACGTCCGTGTCGGAAAAGAAAGGCACAAAACTGTAGCCTGTCAGCTGAAGCTTCAAATTGAGGTGTCCAAAAAGCAATGGGTGGCTACATCCATGTTTTATATGAAGTTTTATATGAAGACGATGCCCCTGGATATTCAGATAACACAGATGTCCCTTAAGTGGGGACTGGAGGCTGTCTCCAAAGGCGAGTCAATGTGCATGTTTAAATGTCCATATCAAGCAAATAAATGTATATGACATTGTACAAACGTTTTGGTCTCTGTGGCTTATTTCCCCTTCATAACAACTATCATTGGCCATTTATTTATTTATTTATAATGTAACCAATGATGTGAATTTTAACATATGCTGAAGTCTATCTTTTATATAGAGTCTGGACTGAGTTCATGGTAGATACCTTCCTGGTTTAAGCTAAAACGAAAACTTAAACTAAATCAAGACATTTAGTGTTATGTCAACAATTTTAAAATAATGTATGGTAATTTAAAATGTCCTTTAGTTTTCTTTAATCATTTTCACAAATCTGCTGGAATATTCATAATTTTATGTAAATGATATAAATCTCCACATTAAACTAAACTAAGAAAATATAGAACTCTTATTATGCTCTCTGCAAGTTGGCTCCTGTGCAGAAGACGTGGACATGCATCCACAACTATAAACAAATATTTTGACTCTTGGCTGCTATTGTTTTATGGATTACAGACAAACTTAGTTAGCATTAGAGCTGTTACAATGATGAGCAGTAAGGGTTCACTGTCTCGCTCAAGGTCACCAGTACCAGTGCCTGTGAATGAACATATGCTGGCTGCTGGAAGTGGAATGGAAGTTAAATTTAAGCTGATTTACTGAGTGCCGCTGTTACAAAGCTGACAGGAAGATGCAGGAGAGGTGTGAATACTCCTGGTTAGCCTCTGTTTGGGTACACCTTCCTTTTATTTCATTGCTGTTTTTTTTTTTTTTACTTTATTTATATAGCACATTTAATAACAACAAAATGTTGACCTAAGTGCTTTACAAAGATTAAAAAAAAAACAAAAAACAAAAATTACACAGTAACAAATAACATCAATAACAAATACCTGGTAACAGATGACTAGGTGGATAGATAGGTAACTCTCATGCAGTGTTGAAAGCCAATGAGTAAAAATGTGTTTTAACATGGGATTTGAAAAGACTGGCCTTTCTAATGTTTTAAATCACTCTCCATTTTCAGCGCCACAATCGCAAATGCCCAGTCACCTCTGTGAACCAGCTTCAACTTAGAAGTGGCCAAGAGCAAGAGATCACTTGATCCTAGAGCTCTAGGGGGTATATATGGCTGCAGTAAGTCAGACAGATATTCTGGAGCCTGACCATTCAGCGCTTTATAAGTCATCAACAAAATTTTGTGTTTAATTCTAAAGCAGACTGGGAGCCAGTGAAGTGAGGCGAGCATCGGGGAAATATGCTTGTGTCTCTTTGAACGTGTCAGGAAACGAGCTGCAGCATTCTGGACCAGCTGGAGCCGTGCTAGACAAGACTGGCTAACAGCTACATATAGAGAATTACAGTAGTCCAGTTGAGATAAGATTGCTGTAGTTAGAGAAGCATTGTGGCAAGCTGAGCTACATCATCCTATCCACTTTTTTGCATTCACTAATTGTACTCTCTAAATGTAGGGTTATAAAATGTCTGTAATATAGTTTGTGTACCTCCACTTGTGTAGAGTTAATGTTATGCTGTGTAGCTTAACATTAACTGTGACACATACATGGTTTCACATGTCTTGATGCATGCTCAATCATCCAGGTAAGTAAATCCCAAAAAGTTGATTCTGTTCATCTGGACGTTTTCAGTGGGAGAAACATTTCATCATCACCCAGGTGACTTCTTCAGTCTCAGCAGACTGCAGGTTTGCCCAACCTTTTAAACGGTACAATGACTTAAACTAGCTCACTGAATGATCAGGGGGCTGTGAGGTGAAGCTTAGGATTTATCCAAAGGAGAGCTGCATCATTACAATCTCTTCCACTCTATAAACCTGAAATCTGTGTGGAACAGCTAACCAATCACATATGCAGAACAGCGCAAACATTATTTACTGTCGTGTAAAACAACAGGCATAAAGCCTGATTTTTTTCCCCCCGTGGCGTCAGATTTTGTACAAATTATATATGTGACTCAGTTACAGTGGTAATTATTGCACACTCTGTAAATCCTAAAAACTTGATTTCACTTGTCAAATATTATTGTGGTCATCTGCTGATATATTTAAATGAAATTGCTGATGTAAAGAACCGATGATTTCTAAACGAAAATCGTGAAGATTATCAGGGGTGCCCAGTGCTTTGCATACAACTGTATAAAGTCTCCTCCTGGAAGTGAAAAGCTTACAAATCCATATCCCATTAAGCAAGCTGCAAAGATAGCCCTGTTCACAACTGTCAGTCACAAATTGACTCTGAGCCTCTTTAGTAATTCCAGCAGCTTTTTAAGATCAGACGATGGTTTCATGCAACTGCAGACATTAGTAAACGTTCCTTGTTTAGAACATCAGCCTTTGTAATGAAGATATTTTTCACAGGCTTTTCATGACAACACATCGGGTTTAGAACACATCATAGCAAAGTAAGGTAGTCCATCTTCTGTAGTTTCAATACGGTGGACATCTGGCATCACATTGTTAAGGAGAGACAAGTGTAGGGCTGTTCCAATTCTCAGCAAATAGCTCTTCTCATTTCGTAAGTCCTTTGCAATTCTTTTACCGAGGAATAGGAGAGAGGTACTGCATGTGCGTGGAACACACCCTGTGTTTCCATCATTTCAGGGTTAACAAACATGGGCTGTGTCCCAATTCAGGGTCTGCACGCTTGAAGTACGC